TTACCGGTGCCTAAGGTTTGCATAAGAAATCTTCCAAACTCTTCAGGTCTGGCTGAGTGGTAAGAAACGGCGGGAGATGGCCCACTCGCTTGGCTTCCAAGGTGCGCTTGGAATATAGAAGCAGTCCATGAGTTGACTGTGTCTCAGTTGCATCACCGGGGTATGTACTCTCTTTCCTCTAAGCCTCAGGGCCCGGGTCAGAGAAGACTCGACGCGAGGCTGCAAGAAACTAGGCTCTACTCCCCAGCCATCCGTAGATGACTTTGCGACGCCGGGGACGATTCAGTCTCGTACAAAACTGACGAAGGAAAGAGCTTACTCTATCCGTACCAGGCTAAGGTTCGTCACCAAACATTCCCTTGACGTATAGCTGAGCCCGGTAGTGAGTTGAGGTTGAAACCGGACCTTACTAACAAGACAGACGCTACTCACATCCAAGGCTGATACATACATTCGTAGTGTTTTACGCTTAGCCGCAGAAACGCAGGAGAAAGTTGTACTCTAACCTCGATATTGGCTTTCGGAACCCTTTCGGTTCGATTTGGACATTTTCTCTAGATGACGCAACGCAGTAACCAAATTCCTATCCCTACCCTTTGCGCACAAAAGCAGCCACATATGGCCAAGACTAGCTGTCCTTCTTGAAGAAAAACCCTTTCCCGTCTCACCATTGCTATGATTAGAAGATGGCCAGCCTGCGTTTATATCATCTCGTTCTGACTAGGCGCTTTCCAATTTCCAAATATCACCGGTTGCGCGTAGGCGAAGCCTCAAACGGCACAGTGTTATCTGTTCTCCTCCGGCCGTAAGAAGAACACATGCAATCGGCCATCAAATGCCACGTCCTGCATAAGAAATTGCCCATTTTCTTATATGCAGTCAAGACCTTTTTTGTGGTCTCCTCCCATGTCCCGATGTCCGACTCGTAGCTGGGGAACCCGGGGCCCTCGTACTCACCCGACAAGACAACGGAACCAGTCCCAGGGCTCCGCGGTACTCGGGGAGGAGCGGGGAGGAAGAAAGGGGGAAGAGCAAAAAGTTCCCGCGGATTGGGGGCGTGCATCATGCACGATGCAACAGCACGTCCTTCCCGGCCGTAGCGGGGAGTGGGAGGAGGGAATAGCGCCCGCTGCCGTCCGGCTGCCGGATCGAGGTCCGGACCTGGGTTCAGGGGCTTTTGTGTCTCTAGGTTGGCAAGATCCTGCCAGTGTCACAACTTCCCACGCGGTATGCTGTGAGAACGCAGTTTGCCCCCGGGAGAGGGAAGACGCGGGAGAAAGGAGATGGGTGGGGGCAAAGCGAACACGACCGCTTCGGGGATATACCTCTTCGCCTCAGAGATAGTGACTGCCATGGCAGCGAAAGTGTTGACGGAGTCTGGCATGGGAAATTGGCTTCCAACTTACTGAAACTGAGGCGCGTATGATGAACGAGCTCCCGGGCCCCTTGTCTATTGTGCAGAATGACCTCGCCATGTTTCTTGGTTTACCTTGACATATCGCTCCGACTGGGCAGTCAACGTGAAGGCCGTGCCGACAGAGAGAGAAAAACTGCCCATAACACTCATGATTTCAAAGCGATTTGTGCCGAGACATTCCCCGGTGAAGATGTCTTCATGAGATGAAAATAGAAAACCTGAACAGGACTTTTTGGAGTAACCCTCGCCTTGGGCCCAGAACCTAGAATCGGTTTCGTTGGTCACCAGTGCTCGCTTTTGCTATGTATGTTCATGGATACCATCTATTCCGGCGCGCCATACTTTCGCGGATGCGCAATGAAACTCAAAATCAGTCGACGAGGTGTTTCTATTTGTAAACAAACTGCTTTCCATCCATAGCCCGCTGTCATTCCGCATGTCAAACGCCGACGTTTAATGAAAGGCCTACGAGCACATTCGCAGTGTTTGCATGGGTGTATCTGTGGGGTGAATGATCGCGAGTACGGATACCCATGCCTCAACTCAACCCTCCTCCAGGAACACACTTGGTTCTAGCTTCCTCAGCCCTGTTATCGTCCCTACCATATTCTCAGACCTCAGACTAAGTAGGTGTGTGTGCGTGCGTGTGTGTGTGCCATTGTGGAGAGATGGAGGAAGTGAACAGGCGAAGGACGGAGGGGGGGCGTGTAAGCACATTCTTCTTGGCCACGAGGTATCTGTACGAAGTACGGATGGAACTATAGAAAAAAAAAAAGGGTTCCGAAATGATTTACTCTGCAGCGGGAAGTCAAAATCCTCGGGCCGGGCCAGTAGCTTCCCATCCTACTACTCTCCTTCTCAAATCAAAACCAGCAGAAACCCCCGGAGCGGGATGGTGGGATGAAGAAAAAAGAAAAGAAAACGGACAGAAAGCATAATAATACAGGTCATCTGTCAGGATTCACAGGGGGTGAGAGAAATCAAACAGAATCGAACGATATGGGATGGAGGGGCGTGTGGTGATGATTGAAAAATAAGGTTGAAGTAGTGAGCAAGAGAACATAGCAAATAAGAGCGAGGATCAAAAACCGGCCAACAAACATTGACCCTTGGAAGAAAGCTCTCGAGGTGTGGTACGCAAAGGCCGGTGACTGGCCGCCCGGGGACTCCACTTCTTGACCGGTCAGCGGGGCACCGGTGACCGGGGTGCCACTTTTTTTTTCATTATCTCGCAAAACCTCACAGCACGCCGTTAACTTTGCGCCGGCCCTTTCAAAGGCTCAAACTCACTCCCCCCCCCCCCCCCTTCTCTTCTCTTCTCTTTTCCTACCACACCCAAAAGAAGCTCCAAATCACATTTGACATGTCAAAAATTGGATCCAAATTACCAGGATCTGAGGAAAAGTAGTGTATGTAGCGCTACGATGTTCCCTGTCTAGTGAATAATTTGTCAAATTGTCAAGTTGGCCCTCACCTTAGCGCCCGTTGTCTGTCAGATTTACTCCGTAGCTGTAGAAAAAAAAAACTGCAAGCCCGTTGTCAATCCTCCTCCCTTCCGACCCCCCGGCCCTACTATTCCTCCTTCATTTCCTTCATTCCAACCCGTCCCGTCCCGTCCGGGACACCCCACCGTTTGACACTCCCTCCGTCACAGTGACAGCTCCTTCTCACCCCCCCTGCCACCACGCCAATACCTACACTAGACTGGACCCCTGAAAACAACATCTCTCTCCCACACACACACAGTGTGGAGGACATCTGTAATATCCTCTATCTCAAGAGGTGTGATAAAATCGACATACGACGAGGCTAACCACGACATGCCACGATGTGGAAAGCTGCCGATTGGGGACCTTACTTGACTGGTGGTGGGTGGTGATGACAGATTGACAGCTCAAAACCAACAAATTTCCCCTGCATTCATAGTTCTCGCTTGACAGGGTAGGTACCTACCCAAGCTCTGTGATTTTCGCTCTGCCTCGCAATTTAGGGTTCTGACGGCGTACGAAGTGCGGATGCTTCATCTCCTGAGAAGTGAGAAAACATTCCAGGCAGATCACACTAAGAAATCACGCACTAAACCCCCTTGGATTGGTTCCACGGACCAGAACAGAGCCTCATTGACGTTGGAAGTTCCATGAGGCTGACACAGCCAAGACGACCCCAGCCGGCGCTAAGAGAGAACAAAGGGAACGGAAAGACGTTTATGGATAGACTGACGTTCAGCTACCTACCTACCTAATCTCAACGACATCTTGTACTCATCACTCATGCGTCGGGAGTGGGAAGGCGGGGGGGACCTCTTGAGCAAACTGCCGTTCCATTACTGACTATCTATAGTTGGACCACAATGTCCAAGACGGAAAGCCAAAAAAGGTCATCAAACTCTCGAGGTCGTTCAGACAACTCTTGCTCGTCTTCCTCTGCCCTATCAGACCTCCAACCAAAACAAAACACGAAAAACACAAACTCCCGTCATCACATCATGTCAAAATCTTACTTTCTCCCTCTGTTCAAGCCATTGATAGCATTTTCTTTTCTGACACCCTTTTCTCCGTCCCCCGCCCCCCGTTGCAGCCGTTTCCACGGTTTTCAATAAAACTCCCATCTCTTCTTCCAAGCGCCTCGTCTGGCATGAGATTCGAAAAATAAAATAAAATAAAAGCAAAAGAACAAACGGCCTAAGCCAGCAAAATCACATGAGTAGAGCGAGAAGAGAAGTAACAAAAGAAAACTAGTCGTCCTTCTTGTCGCAGAGGTATCTTCTCCTCCGAGTGAACCAATCCGTATATGCTGATGCTCGGGGTTGATACGAAGCTGAAGTAGAAGAAAAAAGCATTGGCAGATTTTTGGACAAAAGGAAACGTGTCTTTCTCTCATGACAGCGTGAATGCCGTGACACGAGTATCGGATAGCCAACGGGAAGATTGTGTAAAAAAAAACCCAGCCTCGACCTCGTTGCAAATCAGAAACAAAAACTCCAGCAAATCGACACGCTTCATCGCTCTATTAGACGCGACCTCGACCCGTCGTCATCGTCATCGTCGTCGAAATGACAAATGCTCCCGCCGCCCCACCTTGCTTCAGATTCTGTTGATGTGATCTGAAGACTGCTGTCGCCGGCTGCTGCGCTCCGATATGCTTCCGTTGTCAAGTGATTGCTTTTTGACCCGCAGATGATGTTACGAAAATAGAATTGCCGCTCCCTAGGAAAGTGAATACAAATGGCCGTGCCGATTAAAATCCTGGAAAGCACCATTCACGCCGTCGTTTGGTTTCTTGTTCTGATGTTCCGATGTATCCAGCCCTGTGGCATTAAGGTTGTGGTTGCTGTGTTGGTCGCGCCTAATGATTTCCTGATTTGCTTTGGAAAGTCCGGTGATCGTCAAGTCAAGAGAACACGACAAAGCCTGCCCCAAAAAGCCCGTCGGCCACCCAAAGATCGTATAGGCCGTTAATGTGTTGCCGCAATGGGCACCAGCCCTGAGCTGTGCTGTTACTTCCAGCCCCTTTTGACATGCGGAAGACTTAGTGATGCCTCGCGCTGGCCAAACCATCTGTCCAAGGTCCACTTCGTCTCGAATCAATGCATTTGTCCCCTTGCGAGTGCTTCCGCTTTCCCGCCCGACCCAGGTAATCCGCGTGTGTCGGTAGGTAGGTAATTTGGGAATCCCTGAGAGTTCTGCACCGGCGTTTGACTGGCGCTTACAGGCCGGAAAACTTGATCAAAGCCGCTCCGTGAAATGTTGTCGTACGGTGTAGGAATATACTGATTTTGGTTGAGTGGCACACTAGGGTTCGCAAAGTGTCCTTGTCCGGTTCCGGGTTGCTGTGGCGTGAACGAGTAGACGGAAGCGCCACCAGGTGCTGCTGAGCTCCCTTGCCATGGCTGTGTATACATTCCGGCATTGTTGGTAGTGGAGTACTCCGTAGGTGAAGTGTACATGGACGCGCGACGGTGCGGATCGTGTGTCGTCGGTACCAGGTCTTGAAGTGGCATGCCGGGCGGATGGATGTTGTTGGTTTCTACAAAATGGTGCTCGGGTTGAATGTTTGAGGAAAGCATCTGCGTCGAGTATTGCTGCTGGCCGCGCATCGGCATATCGTTCATGTAAGGGCCTCCGTGCAACGGCCCTGTCGGGCTATGATCGCTGGTCGAGTTGTGCAAGAGGTCGTGCGGTGCTCCTGTCTTCGATGGCGAAACGCTAGACGTAATTGAGGGATGTTCGTCCTCTTCCTTGACAAAGCCGTTGTCTTCGTTATCCGAGGGATAGTTCTCTGAGAATTTATCCTCCGACATGACAAAAACCTGAGCATCCCCATCTGAGACTTATTAGCAGCAGGTCTGTCAATGTGACAAAGTGTGCGCTTACCAACTTCACCGTTCTTGTACCTCTCCTCCATCTTGGCAACCTTGAAAATCTCATCTAGATACGGCTTCTTCTTGGCATTTGTCTTGTTCTCCTTGTCCGCAAAGAAAGCTGACATTGCTTCCGTCGTAGCTTCTTCGAGCTTTAGAATACTTAAGTTCATTTTGCGGATGGCAGGGTGCTGTTTCTCAGGTGGTTCTACGATCATTCGAAGTATGTGACACAGAAGATGGACTCGCTCTTGATTCTAACAGTTAGTAGGTATATCTAGAAAAGGCATTTGCCCAAAGGAGATCTTACCTCGCTTATAGAGATGATCAGGCTCCTTGTGTCTGACCTTTTCTTCTTTCGTAGGTCCCCACGGCTTGGGCCACCAGTCTGGGGCCTTTTCGTCTTGGCCAGTGTAGGGATGATTCGTCTGCTTCTTGGGCTCAACCACTTTGACCCAAGCCTTGGCGATGAGCTTGCAGGCTGTTTGCTGGCAGTTTTTGAATCGTTGCTCGTAGAGATTCCACAGGTCCTTCTCGTCACCAACTTTCAAGGTCTTCTTGGAGCTAGATGCAACCACAATCGCAACGTCGTCATCGTCGTTTGTAGGTCTCCGGTAGCCGCCGCCCATGCCTGCTCTGTGCCTCTTGCGCGTCTTGTAGCTTCCATCCTCGTCATAGAAATCGCCGCCAAGTCGGCGACGATCGTGTCGATTGCCATAGCTGCCGCCAAATGCTTGTTGATAGCCATCACCGTCGAGGCTGAATTCGGAATCATCATGAACAGGGGCGGCAACTGCGTTGTGGGGTTTAGTATCAATCTAGTACGGTACAGTTTGGATAAGAACCCACCAGGACGCACACCACTCCCATGGCTGACATTATTCACATGACGAACAAAATTCTTCAAGTTGAAGAACTTGCTGTAAGCATTAGGCTGTCTTTCTGGCGTGTTCATAAACATCTGAGTAGAACCATCGTCCAACACAGCTACCATGAAGAATCTCTTGGCTGGAATGTTGCAGTGGTCACGGAGGGCCTTCTCGATATCCTACTGACAGTAAGTTATCTACGCCAGACGTCAATAGCGTCGCGACTACTCACCATCGGAGGTCTGCGAGCGTCACGAGCTTCGTGGTATCTACCATCCTCGGGGGGTGGGTGGTCAATTGGAAACCTTTCTGGGGGCCATTGCCGAGGGTAAGGCTCCCGATTGTAGTCGCGGACCATGGCCACGGCACAGTTAGCCCAGAGAGCAAGCCGACAGGAAGAAAAAGTGCGTCCGCTTGTTAAGCCAGGAGAACCGAGTCGTCGTATGGGCGAGATTTAAGAGGCTATCGTAAGCGATTTTGGCGTGTGACTCTGCCGACCAAATGGAGAAGGTGATGGGGCGAATACGATGTGTAACTACGCAATGGTTAGACAACATTGAGGTGCTGATATCTGCATTCGAATATCCTACAAGATGCGGTAGAGGGTGGAACTTCTGAGATAATTGTCGTGGAACAGAAGTATGTGTGTGAGAAGGGACCATAAAAGTCAGACCTCTATGTGACCCCGGCGTGGTCAAGCCTAGCACAAGGCAAGACTGTGTTGTTTTGGGGGGGATTCAAGCCTGATGCCCACGGGATGGTGTTGGGGCTTGGCTGTGATATGTCGAGATGACTGCGCGAGGGTAGATGCAGTAGAGAATCAGACTCGTCCCGACGTTTGTTTAGCGGGTAGCTCAGTAGATATTCCAGAGTCCGGCCGAAGAACACCAGCAAGATTAGAGTCCAGCTGACCAACAGAATAGGAGCGGGATCCTGCGTCGGATCGTAAGTGTTGACTAGACAAATAGCTTCCAAGCGCGGATCTTGGTGCAGAGAGATTGCTAGATGCAGTTTCGTGGCTGAAGAGACGAAATTGACGTTCCAAGTGAAAGATACGACAAAGCAAGAGGTTTGTGATCCGTCAGGGGCGTTACGGGGTTTTGGGAGAAAAAGGTCGGCGGAGAGAGCGGGACCGGGTGGTTCAAACGAATCTACCAGTTCGCGAGACTGGGCGTCAGGGCGGACCTCAAAGTCCTCTTTGTTTTCAAGACGGCTTGAGACATCGGGGGGGGGGGGGAGCCTCTCCACTGGTTCGCGGTTTTGTCTTAGAGCGCAACTCTCCACGCAATGTCTCGGGGAGGGAAGGGTGATGTGTAGTATAGACTGTAGACCAAGAAAGAGCTGAGGAGTCGGAAGGGGGAGAGAGTAAAGCGGCCAACAAGAACGCGTTTGCGATGCTTCCAAGGTCGACACGAGGAAAGCGGATACGGCTGTCCTCGGAAGAGAATCAGAGGAGAAGGGAAGAGCCAATGACCACGAACTGGAGCAGTGGAGGGTGAGGGCCCTAGATGAGTTCAAGGCTCGCGGGCTGAGGTGGATCTTGGAGGAAGGATGAACCTGCAAGGCGGAGGCGAGTCGAGCTTGTCGACGGGTCCCGTACCTCTCGTAATGATCTGAGTTAGGGCTTTTTAGTGTATCTCGATTGTTGCCGTGGTATGTGACAGCCAGCTGAGGAGTGCGGGCGAGAAGCAGTGTCCCGCAAGCGAGGGGGGTTTGAGCAGAGAGGCCGCGCAGACGACTTGAGGTCGAGGGGCAGCGAGACCGGCATCCGCAGTTGTGGAATCATGAACGAGCAGAAAAGTAGGAAGTCAGACCAGGAGGTACCCTGGTCTAGTCAACGTGAGCTTCTACCCTCCTTCAGCTCTTGGCTGGACTGCAAGTTGAGAGAACCGGGGACTAGTGAGCCGCAGTAATATGGAATGGACGTGTCCGTCTGAGTGCCATATGAAAAGGCAAAGAAAAACGGATGGGCACACACACGCCTGAAGCAGAACAGCAAGTCTTTCCGGCGCGGGACTGACGACAGTGGAGTAAAGAAGGGGGGCGGGATAGAATAAAAAGGCTTTCTCAGGTAAGCCTTTAGGTGTGGACGTGGTGGAATGTGGTCAGGGTATCCGTACGGATACTTGTGAAGCTGTGCATGGGGAGTGAGTATGTAGGACTAGGTTGACCCTCCACTCTCTTCCCTCCCTGGTCCAAAATCCTGATAAGGTGTGGCAGGTGCCAGCCAGGAGGGAGAGTGTGCTCAAGAGTCAAGAGTTCCCCGTACGGATACACCACCATCCCATCCAATGCCGCAGCTTGACATCCCAACAGGTGTTCTGCAGGAGACCACAGTTCACACCCACCCCTCCCGAGGCAACCCCCCAAGCTCATCCATGGTGTTTGCACTACTGTGAGCAGACCAAGTCGAGCATGTACTGTACCAGACATGGCCGGTACGCATCTTCGTGCATACATGGCCTGTACCAGACCAAACACAGCCAGATGTGGTCGAACGGAGACCCTAGTCGTAGTCCTCCCGGCCAGAAACCCACCATGTGCTGTCACTGAGTGCGAGGGTTGCGGAGGGCGATCCTCGTAGCCCTGCTCATCCTCCCCAGGCACCCCCGCTGCCAACCGTCTGCAGACCTAGCAATACTGCTGCAATGGCCCGCAAGTTGAGGGCTCTGATCGGCCAGAGCCCGGAGTGTCTGGATTTGCAGATGTCTCTTCATTTCTCTGGTTTCCACTCACCTCAAATAAGTCGACGAGGTTGGCCGCTCAAGGTCTGAACTTGCGGCAGACGAAGAAAGATTGGCCACGGGAACCACAAAGCGATGAACAGATTCCATCCTGTGGCAACGGTTAGCAATTCGAACGCCTGTCTGGTGCGAGATTCGCGAGAGCGCCGGTGTTAGAATCGCCGAAGCATTGACCGTTCTATTCATCCTCAGTTGAGCTAGGTAGCCGGCTATTGCGAGAGGTAAGGACAGATAAAAATCATAATTTGTGTGAGTGCATGAAGGTGTGGGAGACAGCCCATGTCGAAGAGCAGGGGTCGAAGTGAGACAGCGGTGGGCCGGGCTGAACGGCGCATCGGTCGGCAAAAGCCTTGCCAGTTATACCGGTCTCCGTTGATTACATGGCATTGGCTGCATCTTTGAATAGCCATTGCATCATTCGAGCCCGCGCTGTTCGTCTCAGGGCTTTCTTTTCCTCTCGTGATGTTGTCGCACGCTGAATAAGCCTTGTAAGACTCCCTTGGACACCTGAATTACTTTTGAAAAGCTTCATAAAGTACTTAAATCATCAGGTTATTGATGGCACGGAGTCTGCAGGATACCCAGGTGGGGAATAATGAATGTCCACTCTGGCTTTTCGGTATGTAAAACTAGGACAGGTATCGAACACTGGGTTGTCGGATGAAGCAGAGGGCGGAAACCAATCGGTACAAGTTGTGGTGGACTCAAGACTAGAGATGCTACACGCGTACGGATATATCAATGACTGTACTGCCACATCGACTGTTCCGAGTAATGAAGGCTTTCGACTATCGTATGGCTGGCGTGCTGTCTAACTCTAGCGAGACGACAAAAGCAACTAGAGTGATAGTGGCCTTAGGGAAGCTTCATTCTGGAGATCTGTGAGTAAGGAGGGCTGTGCCATCCAAGGTCGCCGCTTGGTTACGGATCGAGTTGCCTACGTGACAATGACTGCCCAGCCCATACAACATAGATTTTGACCAAGCGCTCTCTTAGCTCAAAGCTCTCGTCAAAGGTCAATGGCACGAAGTCGGCCATACCCTACCGGTAGCAATCCTCATCGTTTTGGCATCCCAAGCTCATGTAGGAACGGAACTGACCCCCAAATAGCCATGTTGAGGGCGCCGCTAGGCTCGCCATGCCAGCGCGAGCGCGTTTTTGTGTGGCTATCAAAGTGTTATGGTGTTCGTAGCATCCATTTCTAGCGCTTAGGTTCGCCCTTGCTTCTAGACGGGGTCGAGCGGGGACCTTGGAAGGCAGAGGCTGGGTGGTGTATGACTCCGTTGCGTTGACTTGGAGCTTGACGAAAATTTTGACAGTTCAGGGCCACCTGCGGGAAGCGGTACGGCGCGGAAGTTAGTACGTTGGCATGGCAAGCAAACAAATTTTGATGGGGATTCGGTGCCCCATCGGAACATGCGGGGAATGGCTCTCATTCGTCGTTGACCGCGGTAGAATGGCAAGGTGCATGTCCATTCAGATGGTTTGTTTGCTCTTGCTAGGAGAAGGCCTCGGGCGGCAGGGAGAATGGAAGAGGGCCGAGCATGGCTGGTTGCTGGATTGCCAGCAAGAAGGCCGCTCCGCTGGCCGTGCTCAATGGGACGTCGTCAGACGGGTGGTTAGGGCATGCTGTAAGGTCGGGGCCGCAAGATGGGATGAAGCCTGCATAGAGAGCGGATCAGAACCAAGCATGGCGCGGTCGGGGATGGGTTCCGAACGGGGAGTGACCTGTTTGGCGTCCTGCCCTGGCGTCCTGTCGCATGCCAGAGGCGTCTGATCCTTGACTGGAGGTGTTTGTACGTCCGCTTGTGAGATTGTCAGCTCCGTCCGGTAGGTATTCAGGCATGCGGAAATACTGTACGGATGGTCATGATGGCCAAGAATAACGACTTGGCGTTACAATACATTTGCGACCGTACGCAGCGAACGGGGCGAAGAACTGCGATGCTATGGCCGTAGCTCGTCAAGCGCGGCTGGAAAGATGTCGACGCCAGCGAGACAACAGACAAGGACGGTTATCATTCAACGGCTCCATTCCAGGGTCCAAGACGTAGTCATCGATATGTGCTGGAGGCGGCACAGGAATGCAGTAAACGTTGAAGCCGAGAAACACATGTTTGCTCCCTCTACGAAGAGATACAGGGAAAGTGGTTGGTAGATGGGTGATTAGCAGCGGGCCTGGACCAGGCTTCGAGAGTGCGCGGAGCAGTGCGTAGTGCGTGGGACAAAGGAACGTGGGCACCGGAATGTCAGGGTGCGATGTTCCCGCACAGTACCCGTAGGCGATGGCAGGCTGAGCCGACCATGGACTGTAGGTACGGAGTACGGAGCAGACTATATTCGTAGGCCGTAGTTTGGAGCCAGAGGCGTCGGTGGGCAAGCTTCGGTTGATGTTAGAATGGGCGGGTGGCCGAAGGGGAGGGACGGCCTGGAGGAGCCAGAGTGTGAGTCGAGAAAAGAAAAGTGCTGGAGGCCGATCATGAAGTTCGGGTAAAATGGCGGGGATGAGGATTGGACCGAATTAGACTGTACTGGATTGGACTACACTAGATGGATTGCATTGCATTGCATTGGGGGAGAAAAAGCGGCGACGGAATGGTGATTGACTGACCGTCCGCCAGCCTTTGAAGTTTGGTCGTCGCGTTTTCTGGGGACAGGACAAACGGGAACGTCCAGTCAGCCCGGAAACTTAGGTTCCATGGTTAACCGGGAGGTACGTACCGTAGGAGCACGTTCCGGGTGGGGACAGGGTGCGGCCGCTCATCTTCTCCACTTGTTGAAAAAGGACAGGCGCGTCGCACGGAGCGTCGGAGCCAAATACAAAGACCCAAAGTATCTCGCAATGCACCACCACTCACCTATGGACAAGTCCACCACTACTGCCCGCTCTTGCACCGTCGTACTGTACCAAGCCGCGAGGTAGGGTAGCGTCCGTACGAACCTTGTCGCCTTGCTGGGATAAGCTATCCGCACCTCCCTCCTTCTCTCTCTCTCCTCTCTCTCCTCTCTCTCTCTCACTCTCTCTCACACACACACACACACTCACGTATTTATCGCGATTCCCTTCCGCCAGCGGGAGATATACTGAGCGTTGTGTCAGGCCCAGGGAACAGTCTGGCATGCCGCACGCCGTACGCCCCCAAGCCGAACCAGGATTAGAACTGCAAATCAAGACCAAGACCAACAGCTTCCCATATCCAAGATAATTCCTCTCGGTAGGATTATCATTCTGGGATTCGGACGGAAGTGGGGGACTCGCACGGCAGACAAACGACGTTAAGTCCGGATTTGTTGCCTACTTGCACCGTTTATCTGAGGCGTCGGGGATAACTTCGGGTGTTAGTACTGTGTCTCGACCAATCAGCAGGTTCGGACCATACATGCTGCATGTACGTACAGATAGGTACAGATTCGTGCAATCGACAATGCAGTGTGTTTAAGCTTCTCCCCCTGAGATCAGCGACGTTCCTCCCTTGAATGATGTTTGGGCGAGCCATTTACCTTGGTGATAGGCTCGAGTATCCGTACTCGCTTCCTGAAAGGTTCGAGGAACTTTTGCCAACGCCAACCATAAGCATGAAGCGTGGTACCTGCTTGGCGCGGGTGCAGACTTGGACCCTTTGGTTTCCTCATTCTTTTCGTCCATTCCTGAAAGCCTGCCCCGTACTATGTAAACTATGCACCTATGATCAGCTAGTTCTTGCTTGCTGCATTGGTGAAAACACTGGTCAATTAATGTTCCCTCCCACCGGCCTGTGGAAGTTTTCGGTCGGGGTCCACGGCATCGGTACGGGCTTGAAGTAGACTATATGCTAGGAACGGCCCGATCGTCACGCCGGTAGCACCGGCCATCGACCGTCTCTAACCTACTGTTACGGCGAGGTTTATCTTTTATACTCTAGGTCCGTCCCATGTCGACTGCGCCTTTTGACAACCTCGGCGGTCTCGGACGGATTCGTCGGACAAGAAACAAGAGTTGGTAAAGGAAAAAGAGAAAAAAACTCTGTCCTAGTTTACTCTGGCCCCGTTTTGGGGGTCATGGGGGGAACACATGGTCTGATATTTTGTCATGCCTGTTGCCGAGGGTTCGGCTCACTCACTGCCTGCATCAACGACCACGTTGAAAAGGTCCAGTCTTGCGTGACCTTCTCAGCCTCACACAGCATAGCAAATGGGTCAAAGTATGTTAGCTAGCAGGTTAGGTACCTCATGACCAACTGATGGAAGAAAACTTTGCGAACATAACATCTGTTTTTGTTTTACTTGCTGATCTTGCTCGCCTGCCAACAGTTGTGGCATGCTTGCTAGAAATGGATACGCGAGACTGAATATGGTTGGCGTATTACTAGAAGCTGGTTTTATGACCAAGTCTGGTGCTCTACTTAGTACACAACTTTGTCGACTAGGAATACGTTGGAAGGGCCCACGATGTTTCTAGGGTCCAATTTTCGGCCCAAAATTCAGACTCCCGCCCCGGCCAGGTCCTTGCAGTCCAGGCTAAGGTACGGAGTAAGTAGTGTAGGTAGGTAGGCAGGTCATGTCTCTTTTTTTCTCGGACGGTACTCCGTGGACCCTAATAAGCATGACCGACCCTGAGGTAGAAATGGAGAGGAAAGAGATGCTCCATGCCGCCTTTGATGTCCTGATTCTCTTTACCCGGATTTACTTGCCCTGAATGTCAGAAACCTTGCCTTACTAAGGTAGCTGGTTCCAGTTCAGAGGCAGAGCCGACCCAGAACTGGAAGGCACCAAGATGCACTTGTCTTTTTTCGCTTCCTAAAGGCCGCGAACTCGGTTAGACTACTGCAGGGAGGAAGGTGCTCTGCGATCAGCGTGCGTACGTGCCTTCTCTTCCATGTTCCTCGCCCTTTCCAGATTCCGACTATCACCAACGACAGTTGCCCCCTCTTTTGCTCTACAAGTTCCAAACCCAAGACGTGAACAAGACAGCGTCTTATTGGTCGTCGAGGTCTCACCTTCCTCTCCAGACAGGCCCGCCTCTTGCCAACTTCATGATCCCGCCAGTGCCACCAATGTTTCCTACCTACATCATCACGTCGCGCTCATCCTCGTCTGTCTGGCCCGCGCTACTCCTTTCTTACCCCGTCGAGATTCATCACGGGGTTCATGACGAACTTCTCTGCAACACCATCCTCTCAATCCCTCGTATGCCGCATGTCTTACGCCCTAGCGCCTCGCCCATCTACGCGTCTCCTTGAGTACCTATGAGCTCCAGCACAGCAAAGCTGGGGCGCCCTGTCCGTAACCGCCCGTCTTATTCGCCTGAAGCTACATACACTTCCGACCCAGGCACTGCGGATGCATTGAGAACCTACCGTCGCTCTTCAAGAGGGAAGTGATGATGCCGTCCATTCTTGGATATATGTGCATCTAGTCGAGTCTAGTTACACAACAGGCTGTCCACGCTCCTGTGCAGAACCAACTCCTTCCTGGAAATGGCGCTGGAAAAGCATTGCTTACGGACTTGAGGTGGTCAGCTGAGGGCCGATCCAACCACTTGAGGCGCCCACATTGGTCCATCAATGGTTCGTTCTGCTCGAACACTGCAGCAGTACTCACACCCATCGTCCGCCGACTCACCTGGAACCTACCGCCCTACATTGGAGGGCTCGCTCGGCCTACTTTGTCACATATTGCACCGGCTCGTCTCGAGCGATAGTGTAAAAGCAAGATATCGTCACATCCTATCGATCCAAAACTGCCGGCCTGGACAAACCCACGACTCCACCACGCTAGAGAAGGTCTTGCAGTGCTGCAGCTGCTGCAGCCATGCATGCTCATGCTCCGAGACCACCACCTTTCTTGCGGCCACCGTCCAGATGCTCGTACACCTGCCAGCCAACCATTAATCCCATGGCCACCATGGCCAAAGGCATGTCTGAGGCAATGTGGTTAGTGGGAAAAATCGACGTCTCGGCGTAAAACACGGAACTCCCGCCGCTACAGCCCATCATCACAAGAAAAAGCAATAAAAACAGCGACCACCTGCTGTCTTGCTTGCTTTTCCCTCTGAGACGGCACTTACTCCGCCGAAGAGCGCGCAATGATCGGGTCGTTTGTTTTTCCCGATTCAATGACCTCTGCATTCTGAACCAAGCAGCCGCTTGGGGCCGGTCGTAGGCTGCATGAGTTCGACGCTAGTTCAATTTTTTGGTAAAGACTAGTTGTGCTGCTGACGCCCCGATTTCTGGATGACAACCCCCCATTACAAACAAGCGGCGATGCGTTGATCAAGACCCGCACCACTTGGATGTGTCTCAATCGTATCCGGTTTCGGTATCCTCCAGGAGATGAGACACACCCAACATGATATTGCCCAGACGCCGCAAGTGCCCGTTCCAGTCGACGGGAAACGTTGGTTATTACTACGTCGATTGTTGCTAACGCCCAGTCACCGCTAGAGGCCATGCAGGATTCCCGGGTATTTACCAGCAGTTCGCAATGGCAAGATAGTGTGAGTGAGCGCCTCGTGGAGCAGGTATGCACGTTTCGACCTCTCTGGTCACCTTCCGCTGTTCCGTATGCACAAAGCGGCCGGCGTGAAGAAAAAAGACTATACCACTCCCTTGGGACGGTCGATAGGTCGGTGTTGGCCTGTCTGCCAGCTAGGTCTAGCAGGGAGTACCACACCAAGAGGGGTTACATCAACTATTTGCTAGCTTCATCCTCGGCTTCCCACCATGCGCCCCAGATGGAGTTTCTTGGCATCCTTCACCCGACCTGCCTTCTTAATGCTTCGCGACAAACTAAATACCCTCGGAATTGTCGCGACAACATTCGGTGAAAATCGTTGCAGACATATGGCTGAGTATAAGTCGGTCTGCCAGAGAACTCCAGGCACATCCTGACTCGACACTTCTCAGGTTGGAAATTCGGCGGCGACCGCAGCGGCCCCACGGACGAGGCGGACCTCGGAGACGAGAACGACGATGCTTTGGAGCCAGGCCCAAGCATACTTACCAAGTACACCGTAGATTACACAAGGAACATCGAAGCGGGGTTGTTCCGCCCGCCTCGGCCAACTGAATCTCTAACAGACTGTCTGTCAGGATATCATCGCTCCAAATTCCAACAGCATCCCCAATCTTGACGTCCCTATGAAGCTAGGCATGGGGTCTCGGACTTGGATCGAAGCTGTGATTCGTAAAATCTTTGACAATTCCCCTGGCTTCCGTGCCGTGATTCGTTCTCATTACAGGGATCACTGGCGTCCAATTCCGTCACCACAACCACCACGACCAACGGTCACATCACCAAGCCACGCACTCATCCAGCTGCTGTGCGGATCAGGGGATGGCCCTGGAGAGTCCCCGGAGAGCCGTTGGTATTTGCACTTTTCACACTCGAAGTCCCCGGCTGGCCTCTCCACTTATAACCGTACCTTACCTGCCATTACGGATACAGCCCGGTTCTGACAGCTCAGTTCACCTCACAATTGGAGCCATCCCCACCCCCATTCCCTCTTTTTCGTCACCTTACTCAGGACCTCGCGGACGACTTGATGAATGGGCATGGCGGTTGCATCCGATACGTCAATTGATTCTTGCCTGCCGGTGCTCAGATGTCTACGTTTCCTCCGCAACTCCCCAGCAAAGGGTTGCGGCGGCAAGGCGTTGCTTTAATTCCAAAGTTTAGCTCAATGTCCGTGTTGCCGGGTTCGTTGCCGGACGCTTTGCTTGATCCGGGAGCTGTGCACCAGCAAATTCTACGTCAACCTCACTTTCCCAGACTGACTTGACGCTTCTGTATTAGCTCTTGTTTTTTGTCGTTTTCTACGTTCAACTCTATTTCGACATCGACGATACCGTCAGCCTTCTCAATTGCCAGTCAGGTCGGGACTCAGGTTTACGGGCGCAGCAACACTTTCAGGCATGTGATTGACAGGTGTTTGCTTGCTGCGCCGTCATTTGCTACGCCGCAACCGTTGGTTTTATCTCCTGGTCATTTACTCGTTTACCAACAAAGTGGTAACGAAGACCGCAAGCCAACTGAGTTCCCCTCCATTGATGTGTACATAAGACGACCCCCCAGAACCGACCAGGTAGCCTGTCAATAGCTCACAGACCAGGAGAAAGGGGACAAGAGCCAAGATCATCCCCGAATCCCGGGCCCATCTTTGTTCTAATCTACTTTTGTCGTCACTCTCCGTGCCAGGCTGTCTCGGAGCCTGGAGGAAAGATCATTCAGGAGCTTATGGACTGGGGGGCTACGAGAGCGTACCAAGCTTGCTTCACGAGTTCTCGGCCTGGTTTGATGCGACCTCCGGTGTCGACGGAGTTCGTTGCCTTTCAAAGCCGCATCAGCCATGGCGTCGGAATTGACGCGTCTAACGGCAATGAGGTGTTCGTGGTAGGGGAAATGGTCGTATTAGGCCTTATCAAGCGTGTTCATTCCGATGAAATCTCCCTTGAGCACGTTGAGAACAGTCATAGGCTATAGTTTCTTAGATATTACGACGCTCGCAAGGGCTCTGCATCGTCGCACAAACTCCGACCAAATTGAGGCGAACTGAGCCAGTCATCGTCACGGTTCTGGCCGCATTACGACCGCGCTTTCTAGGGCAAGATGACATGAAATTGGCCAGCATAGAAGGAAGATGCCTTCACGAAGTC